TTTCTCAGGTGAGGCTAGCATTACATGTCTTTCCAGCTGAGGTGACTCTCCTGACCCCTGGTTAATTATGGACATTGGTAGATCACATATTCATCACTGGTGTGAAGACACTGGAGTGTTTTATACTTGCTAAAGTAAAATTCCCAATTCTATTAAGGAATGTGCTATAGTAAGGCTTTATATTTTATAAAAGACTCATTTTTCTTCCTCCACTTTTCTTATGTCTAACCAATATCATATTTAGCTTTCATGTTTATGATGTGGTGCTGAGGCCTCTTTATTATATAAAGTTCTAATTTTTAAAATATAACTAATAAAACTTTTCTGATATAGCTGTGGTTCCCTCTTAGGCAACATGGAACCAATAGCATAGATACCTACCTTCTGGCCATCATAATCTGTGTTCAGAGCAAATCTATCTCATGAGGCTGCAATGAGATAGTGAGACCATGTAACATTATTCACTTGCCACGTTTTCTGACATCACATAATGGTTGAGGTTGCACTTACATGCACCTGCAAGTGCTCATCTGAATTTAACATTTTGGGTTTGGAGGCCATGTATCTGTTTGACATCTGTGATATTACGGAATGTGCTCTTGAGAACACTGATTAAACGAATTTTTTGCTGTTTGCTGAAAAAGATTTCTCCACCATCCATGAGGTTATTTCAGTCTATGTTACAATCTCACAGACTCAGTACTTTCTGCATATCATTGACTTTATTAGTTTCTGGAAATAATTCCAAAACTTATAAAAATTATTTTCATGGCTCTCATGTTAACTTAGTCTGTTTGATTATGACATCACTCCTCTTCAGATAGCACAGTGAGTTTAGTAAATATGGACATACTGGTTATTATAAGACCCACAAAGTATGGTGTGCGTTTATACCACATTAGATATATCAGCACAATCGCAAACATGAAAGTTTTACCACTACTTCTAAGGTCCACTCCACACATCATCCATGTGTTGCAACTACCAGGAAGTTGGGCAATGACCTTACCCACCACATCGCATTTTTAAATCACCCACAGAATGGAGATGAAACAAGTATATAAAATATGAACAAATTTCATGTTAGTAGAAAAGGATTACAAGCAATTTAAGTAGTAAAAGTAATATTTGCTTAATTCAGTAAATCAGTCTCTGTCCTTTATTACTTAGTAATTATATTTATAAATTATTACTTAGTAATTTATTACCTGATTCAGAAAGCTCTCTGATTTATAACAGAAGTTGTCCTTGCTAGTATCATACAGAGTTCTCTAATTGATGTTACCTTTGCATCCATAAAGAGCACCAATGCCCACCTTTTCTGATTGCCATGTCCACACTTTGTTCTCAACTGGGTCAATGGTTCAAGTAGTCACCTGTGCTCCAGATCTACTGTAGATTTACTGCTTTATAGAGAACAGAGACTGACTGGCTATTTTAATTATTTCCTGTTAATAATATATAAAGCAATAATACTTGGCTAAAACTATAAACTACATAGTTAATTTACATAACATTTTACATTTGTGTTTATAATAACTAATAAAAAAACAATGAAACAGAATTTTGTGTGTGTGTGTTCATGAATGTGCCTTCATTTCAATTTAGGAAATGCTAGGTCTGAATATCTATCCATATATTAGTGACGGGATGATGGAAACTATTTAACAGGTTGTATGTCTCTATTGATACTGAACTGTTATATTATGTGGTTAACCCATGGAAATTTATTCCACAGTGATTTTGAATCACTATCCTGATGTGCTAAGTCAATTAGTCATGCTCCCTTTCATGATTCCATTAAGACTGAGATTGTTTTCTCTAAACTCCCAGTGGAAGAGATGTCAGCAACCACAGAGTGCCGGGTGCACAATAAACATCAGAACCCCACGTTTGTGCATAACATTTTTTATCCCTTATAGTCTCACACCTGAAAATGTAAACCTTCTAGTAAAGAGAGAAGCCACATATACATTTTCTTATCATCTACATTTCCTCTCATATTGAAATATGAACCAACACTTGCCTTTAACATCCCAGGATTAAAGAATCATAGCTTAGTCCTGTTCTGAATTCACCATGTTTTCTAGCCCTTATTCACTTACACGGTTAAGATGAATCACGATTTTGTGACAAATGAGTAAAGAGACAAAAGACTGCTTATTCAGCTTTTTTTCCCCATTTTAAAGAAAAAAAAAATCATTATCCATGTAGGTTAATGGAACTTCTCAATGACATCCCAAAATGACATAGTTCCTCATTTCAGTCTTTAGCAAAATGTAGTTTCTTGTCACTTTTTCCTGGATATCAAGGTCCTAAAAGGATTAAACCATTCCACCAGCAAGCACTGTTTAAATGAGCTTATTTGTGTAGACAGTCTTCCATGCTCAGCGGATGTGATAACCGCCCAAGAATACTGACACTCTCTAAATGGAAAGCATGGAGTAAGCCTGCAAGGGGTGCTGGCTCTCACACACAGAATCTCTGACACCTCATCAAATCATCTGCATTTCATAATGTTCGCTAAAAAGCCATTGATCTTTTGGAACTGATCTTTTTTTTTCTTATCCTTAAGTTGGATATGTCAAAGTTGTAAGAAATAACAGTCTGCAACTGGGCTCTATCTGAAATATGCTACCCATGATTACAAAATGTTTCCCCCAACACAATCATAAAATGTTGAACTGAAAGGCATTCTAATTCTTATGTTATATGGTGTATAAATGTAAAGTCAAGGCAGACAAACTATCCATTTCCAAATAAGAATGTATACCTACACTCATTAAAAATCACCTGGAAATGTGTATTATTAGCAAATAAGTAAGAAATTTTCACTAGTATAAAATTCCTGCTTTATATAAAAGCCATACTGGCCATTCAAGTATTATGAGGTTTTATTTTCCCTTATAGTTTTATATTTATACTAAAATGATAAATTTAGACTTGAAATTATATTAAAGGAAAAGGAAAAGTCACTTCTACCTCTTGGGTATTTTTCTGAGAGTGTCTCGAAGAGCCAAGCATCTGTTTGCCCACTCAACACCCGCGCCCCTCTCCACTCGGAGCAAACAGCTCACCCTCACTGGTTCTCAGAGAACAGTTAACTGTCCAATGGAGAAGCAACACCAGATTTCCTTTCATTTCTGCCAGTTTGCAAGTTAAAGGTCAAAGGGCAAAGACATAGAACAAGACTCTTCAAGACAAATTTCACATAAGACAATGTTTAAGTTGTTGTTAATGACAGTCAACAGGTCAACAGTCAAGGTCAAGGCAAGCTGTTCATGTTTTAAAAGCTAATCCCCCAGGAAGCTGGCTTTCCCGAAAAGCCAGCGTCTGAGTCATGGGGTACATGCTTTCTGACCGTCTCTAATGAGTTCATAGCCCAGTGGCTGGAAAGTCTTTCCCCATGAGAAGCAGCTTCCTAAAAAATCAATACAGAGGTCTGTCAGTTGCTGACTTTTCTCTAAGAAAAATATTGATATGAACCTGCTCCACAGGTCACACAAAAATGACGATACTGATGTTAGGACAAATGACAGTCAACAGTGAGATGCTTTGGTGGTGCCTTGGCTCTGTCAGTGACCAAATGGATGTCTGGGCACCAGAAGCCTCACAAACCCTTTGAGAACTATGGCCACCATGCAGGATAGTCACTTTGATTCACTTTTCAGTAGCCATATGCACTGCATGTCCAAAGGCAAACTGAATTCCCATATAATGGAGTTTAAAACAGAAACTCAGTATGTCTAACCAAAGAAAAAAAGACTTAGGCTATTTTTATTGGCTGTTCAAATAAAATTTCACTCTTATAAGATACTTAACAAAATACTTTTTTATTTGACAGGAAATGTTTTGGCAAGTCACATTTCCTATGCTGTCATGATGCATTTCTGTAGGACTAAAATTTACTTAAACATTGCATAGGGTTAGAGGATATCTGTTTTAAAAACCAGACCTTCCTGAACCTGAGACTACCATCACCATCGCTCAGTTGTTCAAAATTCACCAGATAGCAAAATTGATGACCCTGTGACTCTGAAAGCTGATCTGATAGTTCTCAAAGGGTTCCATCACTGGATTATAATGTCATATGGCCTTATAAGCAACTGTCACTTCACATCATGTTAGGGACATACTGCTTCTCACTCTGATAAAATGAATATTCCTGACAGATCCAGGGGATGCCCGGGGCAATGACCTAAAACAGCTTGGGGAGGTCCCACAATGAAAAGGAGAAGTGGCAGGAAGGGTCTAGAAATACTTCCAAACAATTTAGAGTCCTATTTGAGCAGAGCTCTGAGTACAAATGGGCTGGGACACCAAGGACATGGCTGAGAACAGCTGTAGAAAACGAAAAAATGGAGTGTTATTAAGGCTGTTACTATATATTGCAGAGAATTTGGCCCCTGTTGGCTGGAACGGCTCCCCAGTCCTGTCCTGCCGCTCCAACACCAGCAAACACAGCAGACTTCCTGGAGAGGCCAGAGTGCACTCTTCTTTGGAGACAAAGCTGTTCTGGGTCTTCCACTTTCCTGAAAGTTCAACTACAGGTTGTTTTGTTTAACCTTTTAAAATTTTCTTGGCTGTAAAGCAAAAATGTGTGGGTTTTCAATTTTGCTTTTTTCCCCATCCCCCCACCCCAGAAATGGGCTCAGACTTCAGAAGGGCAATCCTATTTTAAACGATTAGGAAGAATCCTTTTCTTGGTATCCTCTTCTGGAGTTACTTCTGAAAATGTCCTGGGCATCAAGCGTGCAGAGGAAAGGCCTAGAATGGAAAGACAAAGACAAAGGACTGAGGGACAGCAGGGACTTGCATCATGGAAGTATCCCTACAACTGAATTTCCACTCATGTGCAGGACCAGCAACCCTCTGGTTTAAAAGGTCAGCCCTAAACCAGGCTTCCACCAGCCCGCTCTGAGCTAGGAACCAGCATAATAGCTCTTGTCTTGAATCTCAAGTGATCACCAACTCCGGGAAAAGCAGCTTGAAGCCCCATGTCACACCCACTCCTGCATGGAGCGTTTACAGTACAGTATGTGCCGGGGAGTCCCTTTCCTCTTGAACTGGAGCACGGTGTAGACCAGTACCAGCAGGCACAGGGCCAGGATGCATGGAATTACAATGGCAATGGCTTTCACAGTGCTGGCTGTGTGGTCCAGTTTGATGACAATGTCGACATCATCAGGCGGGCTGTGTCCTTTGTGTCTGTCTGTTGGTCCATCGCAGCCCATAAAGTCCTTCAGGATGGACCTGGGATATCCAGGTTCTACCTTGAGTATCTGGTTGTTGAATTTCCAATACTCCTTTCCTTTGTAGAAATAGGTAAAGCCTGAGGGTGGGGTGGGGGGAAAAACGCACACAAGAACCACTTATTTGTGAAAGTGGATGTGTATAGACATTTAATTAAAGTGACTACCTAAAAGACGTATGTTAAGTCTCCTCAACTTGTTCAGGAAGAAAACACTGTTTTCAGCGCAGCTGTGTGCTGACATGGATCTGGCCATTAAGCCCCAGAGACTGTGCACTTTGATACCTGGAGAGGCCCAGCCAGTGAAAAGTGCTCTCTGTCAAGGGTTTTGAGAGAGCAGGTGGAGCACATATAACCAGTCTACATTGGAGAAAGAGTCCATCCATTGCTGGCTCACAGGACTGAAGGCATATAATGCATTCCAGTGTGACAATATCCACCTGCATCAAAGATGTTGTCATACCTTATTAACTGAAGCACCATTGGCCTCAGGCTGTGACTGAGGACACAAACAAGGGGGCTTCTCCAGGAGATCCCTCACAGGCAGGTCTAACCATCTTAGCACCAGAAATAGCTGTGACCATTCTAAACAATAGGTTTGCTTTTGTCATTTGGACCAGAAATTATAACAAATCATAAATCATGTGACTAGAGGTGTTCTCCTTTGTTGGTTAGGAATTTTAATAAGCAAACAGGCATTTCTAGTACTTTGTGCACTAATCTCATTTTTTGCTTTAGGTACACACATTGTGTCTCTTCTTTTGGTCTCATTATATAACTTTCTTAATCACTTAGCCTATGTTACATTCATGTCACTTAAATACGTTTTACAGAACTTCTAAAGCCTTTATTAACCCTTGTAGAGTAAAGAACTAGTAGTGTATAAATAGATCTACAATTCCATCTTTAATACTTCCAACTAATATATATTTCATGGGGGAGGAGGTGGTACATCGGAGGCTCAAAGATCGGGCAATACATATGATTTACATTCCAAACCATTAGAGGTGCAAATAATAGTCTTTGCAAATATATGACAATTAAACTACAAACATGAATGTTTTTCTTAAGACTAATCTCTAAATTATTGTTTTTGGTTGGGCACATATTCAGTTTTTTCCTTTCTGTTCATAACTTCTTCATATCAATTATTTTTTTGTGACTACACCTCTTGGATTTAATTCTTGGAGATAAAATTCATGAGACCAAAATAAATGTTTTAATGTCATAATTACTTAAAAACTATATTTTGGAGGTATCTATTTTGAATAATATGCTTATTTTAGAGTTAACAGTCATTAATGAGGGTTTTCTTTATCCCATGCTATTGAACACTCACTATGGAAGAAGCCCTGTGTTAAAAACTTAGTAAATAACATTTTATAATCTCATAACCACTCTGCTAAGTAGAGTTAGTTACGTATACTTTCCAGGCAACTATACTGTGGCTCACAAGATAAAATAAAATGCCTAAGACCTCATGAAATGTTGCTGTAGCTCTAGAGCTCAAACATGAATGATATGCCTAAGATTGGGTCCTTTAGAGATCTCTTGTCTTGGAACAAATACTCCCTGGTTAAACAGCAAAGGCTGTGTTAGATACCACTCTTCAAAAACAACCCAGAAACTGACATCTCTCAAAAAATTTCAGCTAGGACAGAGCATCACTCCAAGTCACTTTGTTTTTGAAATCACTCTGTTCAATGCCATGAAGTCTGCCATTGATTTTTGTAGCAAAGGGAAGTTTTGTAATCAGAGCAACTTGCCAAGTGAAAACAGGTGTATGTAGATTCAAATCTTTCTGCAGGGAGCTGCTATTTGATCATGCTAATGAATCCAATGCAATTACTCAACAAACTTGGATAAAGCAATGTGGAGGGCCTTCCAAATGACAGTCTGTTGGGCAACCAATATTCAATAATGGCACTGATCTAGAATTCAACAAGCCTTCCAAATAGGTGAATGTACTTCTTAAAACCTAAAAGTTAACAGCTGGAACTGTCCTCATCTTTAAGTTTTAGTCCAAGCTCATTACTATGAAATTACTGGGTATCATATTAAAGTTCAGAAGTTTCCATTTGGATGTTTCTCAGGTGTGCAGGTCAATTTTATGTAACACACTCCAAATACAGAAGAATTTTGTTTACTGAATACATGTGTTAGCAATAAAAAGTCTAATAAGTATGAGTTAGAGAAAAAAATGTAGTACTGAAAAGAAGTAGACTAAAATCTTTGTAATAGAAATCTGTCATACTTTAATCCCACGAAATTCATCTCAGTGTATAATTTAGGATTTTTTCCCATTTATGAAATGTCAGTGGATTGAGAAAATGTTGATGTACCAATCTTTTCCTTTTTAAGAGTAGATTTGATGTAATAATCTTGTAGATGTTATATTTACTACGGGTAGCTACTTAAGAATAATTTTTACTTCAATTATCATATTTTGAGAAATTCACAGGCTAGAAGTGGGGCTGCAATTGGCAACATAAAATACAATGGTATTAAAAGTAAAATTTTGTCTTAATATTAAAATTGCACGTGTTAAGGAAAGAATATAGAATACCTAGGAAGTGGGACTTGAGAGCAGTTAACATAGAAACAATTTGAAGGAGGTCAGAATACAGATTCTTTACTACAATTTTAGTGTAAGTTAAAAACTTACAGGGACATAAAGTGCAGCATACAGAATAGTTAATAATATTGTAATAACTTTTTATGGTTAGTAGACTTATTGAGGGATCACTTCATAAGTTATATCATTGAAGGTCAACTGTAATTTAAAAACTAAAATAAAAAACCAAATGCTGTTGCTTAAAACACTGTTGAATAGAGAGTGCTAAGAAGAAACCATTGTACTCTATTCTGCATGAGTCAAATGTCATTTGGATTTTTGAAGTTAGTTTTGGGGGCTGAACACAAAGAGGAAAATAAGAAACTATTAAGATGGTAAAAGGTGTGACTATTGAGGGAGCTCGGAATCCCTGCAGTGAGTTGGCGATGAAGGGGAAGGACTAGGAGTGGGAAAATACTGGAAGGCAGCATGGGGAAGATGTCTTCAAGATTTCCCTCTCTTCTCCCAAAAAGAAGGACTCAACAGAAGTGCCTGAAGAAGACTTTAGGCCAGTGCTCAAACCACTGAGCCACACCAGTCAGGAAATGAAGATCCTTCTGAGAGAAGATGGCAGAGGAGTGAATGGGAGTCACGCTGACCTCCTCCCAAAACCCAAATGGAATTGTGACTAAACTGGAGTAATCACCTGGAAAACAATGGAACGATAGTGGGAGAGGAGCCTTGGTGCCGCGGACAGTGGATTGGACTCTCACACATCCCAACAGGTGAGAAGTGCGATGGAGGCTTGAGAGGGTGGGCTGGGTGCCCACGGGCACTAGCACCAGAGGGACATTGAAACGGCCAGTTAGCTTCCCCCGAGAAGAACGGGGTCTGAATCATAAACAGGGACCGCTAAACTACAGCAGCTAAAGCCGAGAAAATACAGACAAAACGCAACCCCGAAAAGCTTAGGGGCACTCTCTGCCAGAAACAGGTGGCTGGGGATGCAAAGAGACATTTAAAGGGCAAACGCAAAAGTTGCAGTGGCAGCCACCCTCCTTGATCGCTGGGTAGAGGCGGCAGCAGGGTGGGCTGGTGCCTGGGAAAAGATTGGTGAGGAAAACTTTGTGAAGAGAACTGATATGGGGGCTGGTGGAGCGCGGGTGATAACGTACCTCCCACTCTGCAGCGACCATCTCACTCAGGCATAGGGAATCAATTAACCTGCCATTTGTGCGCTCTGCACACAGCTTGTGCATGTGAATTGGGGGACTGAGTGCAGACTGGCTGGCAGAGCCTTGAGGAGAGACTGGAGACGGAGGCGTTGGGGAAAGAATGGGAGGAGGAACCGGGGAGTCCCGACTACCTCCCTGTTCTGTAGTCTCCATTGTGGGCTGGAAAGGCGCGACCCCAAAGAAGCAGAAGCGGGGGCGCATGAACCAGACTGCCTGCGATTGAAACGCAGTCTGCACAGGGGGTGGATCCTTGGCCGAAGGGGTCATGGAACTGCCCAGACCCCAGAGTAGAGACTAGAAACGGAGGCGTTGGGGAAGGAACGGGAGGAGGAACCACGGAGTTCTGACTCCTTCTCCTTGCAGTACTCTCCATTGCATGGGAAGAGGCCACAACCCGAAAAAGCCAAAGGCCGAAAAGCACACATAGAAACCACAAAAACACCCAGTGCAGACGCACACACTTGCGCCGAGTGACCAGCGAGCGTTGGCGAGCATGTGTGTGACCCGCGCGGGCTAGCGAACGCTTGCACCTGCCGGAAAGGTCTCTCACAGATTGGCATCACTATGGCCTGTGAGGTAGTGCATAGAGCTGCAAAGGCCGGCGTAAATGGACCGGCCCGCCCGTGATTGTGGAGCGTCCCACAAAATTAGTAGATTCCCAGCCAATGGGGTCACAGAGCTGCCTACAGTCGCTGGAGGAGAGACCGGAGACAGGATTAACCTGAGAGCCCTGGAGCTGACTTCCTCCCATTTCCGTAGTCCCCATTTGGCGAGGGCAAACAATGCACACAAGCCAAAAGCGGGGAAAACACACAATAGAAGACCCTAGACTGACCGGTGCTAGGGAGCTCGCTGGCCGGGGGGCCAGATGAGTACACGAGGTCGCGAATAAGCCCCCTGGTCTGGGGCAAGCACATGCAAACCCAGGCAGGGGGGGATCCTGCCGCGCGAGGAACGCGCTCAAGGAGCCCGCGTGAGAGTGCAGAGAGATCCCAAGAAATAGCCCAGCCCTGACCGAAGGGGTCACAGAGCAGCCCCAAGGAGGAGACAGACACAGACAGTAGATTCCTGGAAGGCTCAAACAAACAACCCAAGGTCATATAGGGTCAACAACTGACATAATCAGAGGCAGGCCCAGAAAGAAAAGTAAAGGACAAAAATAATTAACAGACTCTCACAAAAATAGGAAGAAAAAGAAGTTCCCCCCAAATTAGCGGAAAAGGGGACTCCCCACAAGAGAGCTAAATGAAATAGAGGCAAGGGAACTACCAGATACTGAATTCAAAACAATG